TTTATTTCAAAGAATGATAGTTACATTTTTAACATTATAACCCAAAGTTGAAGGACGGGACCATCCATTAATTACATGTACAGTTTAAAGGAGGGGTGGGAGTTGCAAAAAGTACATGACTGTACATGAAGAAGGAATAGGTCAAGGCATTGTCTACATGGCTTTTTTAGTGGTATTAGTGGCATGTTAATTTGTTTTTATAAACCAGTTACTAGTCATATGAATAAATTATTAGTTAAAAAATATTTGCAGAACTTTTTAAGCCATTTCTTTGGTGTTAGAGTGGTTTACAAACTACTGTCACCCTCTTTTTTAATTATGCATAAAGTACAAAGTTTACATAATGGGGAGGGAGAGGGTTTAAAGTACAAAAGTAGGCTTTAAAATTTTATATGTAATTAATGGATAGTCTCATGTCCTGATCTTCACTCATTCTCTGCCTATTCTTGCCCTTCTGAAAACAACATACCAACAAAATATCTGAGTACATGACAGAATTTCATCACTATATGCTAGTTTGTAATGCATTGTACACACTCTCTTCATGCAGTTGCACTCATTTTCAATTTCACATAAAATTTTAATGTATATTGCTGTTTAATACTTTTCTTCATTCTTCTGTAACCACTGCTCAAAACATGCACACTAAATCTTCATAATAACTATTGTATTCACTTGAACAGCTTAAAACTTGCACTGAATGTTCAGGAAAGACAATACAATTGACAGTTATGTAAATGAATGTTACAGTGTTGCCAGAATGCACAGTACAAATTTAGTCTCATTATTTTTCAATCAAATCTCATAAGTCCTGTACTTGCTCACAGAATGGTGTTCAACAGTGCTTTAATACTACAGAATATCACAATTTTACTGGTCAGATATATAGGTTGTCCTGTTGTAGACTTAACACTGATATGATGTACTTAATGGGAATTTGGATAAATCCTGTGAATAACAAGAATAGAATTGTGGCAACACATTCTTCAACCATACATATAGGCTACCCCCAGTTATAAACTTGACCACTGGAAGCAATGTGGAAGTGTCTAACACATAGTTCCACTTATAATTAAACTGCAAAGTTGAAAACAACAAATTTCATGTTATATCAAACTTTTTAGCTTTTAAACGAAATTAATAGTAATTTTGGTATTGTGGTACTATACAACTGACATTTGGAATAGAATCAGTATCAGAATTATTAATTTGGTTTACAAGCTAAAAAGTTTGATATAGCACATTTATTATCTGACTCCCAAAAATATAATTAATAAATTTTATGTTTTTATTTGTACATTATTGAAATGATTAGTTGAAATAGAGGATGAGGCATACTGTATGTGGGATCTGTTAATAAAAATATTTATGCATTGCCCTGTTTTTCATAAAATTTCATATATTTCTATTAACTGTATTATTTATATTTAAAAAACTGGGATTGCTTCTGTTCTGCAGTGACTACCATCAAATTGTCCCTGATTTTTATACTTGAACTTAACTATATTTATTTGAGTCTTGTTGTAACAATTTGCATATTTTTAAATAGACTGAATATTTTAATTGTTGATGTTTGTGTTATTTTTTTCAATACTTTTTTAATAACTCTCATTTCTAACTTTAATTTATATATTGAGAGTCACAGTAGTGGCTCCATGTGAAAAAAGTCACTGAATGGCTATATGTACAGGGATCAGAGTTGCTGATTTTTAGTGGTTGATTTCTCTGCTCTCGAAATGTCTATAGTAATTCTGAATATCTCATTTGAAAGATAATTGCTTTCTTATATAGTGTGCAAAATTTCAGGTGTTTTGGTAAAAGGCTTGCTGAAATATAAGCAATCAAAAAGCACAAAATTGCCAAAAAGCTGTATTTTCTTCTTTTCTTCATCTGGCATTGCATATGCTCCTGGAAAAAACTACTCAGTCTAGCTCATATTTTAAATTTAAGTCTATTGTATTATGAGTGAGGTGCTCACGAAACTTCTGGGTCGATAGGTAAAAGTTTACATGGGTTTCCCATAGAGTTGTTTTACTTTTATGGCTTAATTTCATTTTTATAAGGATAAAATTGGATTGAAATTAATGATTTTTTATTCAAAATGTTATCCAAATAACAAAAGCTCAAATTTATGCAAATTAAAACATTTTACAATGATTTTACTAATAGAGTATTGAAAGTGGTTGATTGGCAGCTGCTTCATTGTTGAGCGCTGACCAAACTGTATGTCATTGTTTTGGATCTTGATATAACAACACAATCATTAATCAAAAAATCAATTGATATCCAAACAAAAATACCTGAGATATAAAAAATTGCATCAAGTAAAAAATTATGACAATTTGGATAACGGTTACATTTTTTTTAGAATTTAATAATTATTAAAAATTATCTAAAACATTAATTATTAAATTAATAATTTATTATTATTAAATTAATGTTTTAGAGGCAAGAAGCTTACAAGTATTTTTTCTTAGCAGTTTTTCTTGGTAAAGATAAGCTTGGCATTTCAAAGTGATTTTTATCTGTATTAATGTTTTTTACATTTTGCTTCAAAGCACCAAGCTTTTTTTTACCAAAGAAAAACTCATAAAAAAATTGACTGTCATCCAAATTGTCAAATTTTTACTTGGTGCAATTGTTTTACATCTCAGATGTTTTTATTTGTATTTTGAAATATTTCAAAATTAAGTTTGTCTCTTATCTCTTGACACAAGTTTATTATATGATTAAAGCTATAATGTTTTTTTAAAAACATTTCATGAAAACTTTAAGTTTCATTTCAAATACAAACCACTTTAAAATTTATTTATAGTTAGTTATGAAATAATTATTTTTTATTTTTGTATTTTATTGAGGACGTAATACAATAAACATAAAAACAGAAATTTATAAAACAATGTTTTTAAAAAGTGACTTCATTTTAGTAATTACAAGATTAAAACATTTTGCAATTTTGAGAAAAATATAATATACTCTTGTTGCATTCATTTTGAGTTAAGTAAAACAAGAGTTTCAATGATGAGTGCACTGAAACTCTTCCAATGATGTGCAGTAACTAAATAAAAAGTATTTAACTAGTATAAAAGGCAACGTAATTTAAATACTGTTGTTAATCATATAATTGCTTTACTTTTTTTATAAAAGTAGTTGAAACTGCCAGTTAACTACATTTAAACTATTCAAAAATAGCAAAACAAAAAATTAGACTGGATTAAAATAACTTCTGTTTTCATTCATACCTATTATTTAACACTTCTATTTTTTTTATTTTTATACAATGTTTCAAAAATACAAGTTTTTCTTCTCAAGAAGATCAGTCTGGAGTGTGACTCAAACCTACAGCTCTGAGTATCATGCAAGTACAGAAGTTGCAGGTTTTAGTTCTGATCTAGATTAAAATATTCTGGAAGAAAAGATTAACGAATAATTAATTTAATTTTACTTATTAAATTTATTACAAGATGTCAATATAGTCACCTTCCTTTTAGTTCAAATTAAAAATTGTTTGTATATTTAATTAGCCAAGTTATAGCCTGATGAATCCAGTTTTATAATTTAACTATCAGATAAGCCCAGCGTTGCTTGGGCAAAAAGTAACGATAGCGAAGATTAAGATTATTACATTATAGCCAATCTTACCCGTTTTCTCAGAATGCAAGAATTAGGTTGCCCTGTTTCCAGACTAATAAGAAAATTTTTAGATGGGTCTAAAAATATGTTCAATTTCTTGCAAAAATGTAAAAAACCGCATCTGCAACTGTAAATCTTGCATGTCATTTTCTCTTAACACTTCAATTGTTACTTAACCACTTCCATTGTTTACACTTTCCCACAGGGGAAGAGTTAACCTCTCCCCGCGGGGGGAATTTCAAAAAATCCCTTCTTAGTGTACGTTCTCATGACGCACTCTTTGTACTAAATTTCAACCTTCAAGTCCTAACCATTTGGGCTCTACACTTCTTATTATTATTCAGAGTGGCTATTTCAAAGGGCAATTTTGGCAACTAAAAATAATATTGTCGACGGTATCAACTTTACTATTCAAAAGAAAATTCCCGGTAATATTCAAAAGAAAATTCAGAACTGGCAAGAGCTTTTCCACTTTTAAGTTTGGGCATTGTATAAAATATAAATCAAATAACTTTTTATTAACAAATACACTAAGTACAGTTTTCACACTTTATTTTCGATTTATATTCAGTCACTGTATCACTTTGACTACTCACACTTCACTGCTTGTTTTTATTCACTCACTGCACTACTTTGGAATTTTCACTTCTTTTTTGGTTCTTCCCTTCGTCACTGATAAGAAACTGACGTTCAAACCCACAACGGATCTTGCTTTATATACCCCCACCAATGGGTAGTCCCACCCATACAAAAAAGGCTTCAAATGTTCCACAATGATCTGGGATGTTCCCAAACGTTCCAGAACACCCCAGAATGTTGTGGAATGCTCTCAAATACTCTCAAATGTTCGGGACTGTTCTAGAAATTTCTAGAGGGCACAACTTCCAGCCCTTTATCTTCAACAGCACGCCCTTCGGGTAAAAACGGGAACCTTCTTCATGGATGGGGGATAGAGGGCTACCACACCATATAACTCACTTGATTGTACCAGGACTCATTTTTGAGTTTTAGCGGCACACACATTGTACATGTACCTTTATAATATATATTGATTATTAATGTAATTTGGGCTTAGTTTTCTATTTGGCCATCAATATACATAAATTTACCAGAAGACATCAAGTAATATTTTTGGCATTAAAAGAATTAATGTTTTATTATAGAATAGTTTTTATAACCTAAGAGTTTCCCTTGTAATGTTTTTAAACAAATGAAATAAAATTAATTTTTTATATTTACAAATGTGAAGAAAATAGTTTATATAGATTTGTTAAAAATGTTTTAACTTTTTTATTAGTTATTTATAAAAAATGGTTTAGATATTGATACATATTTATTAATATTGATATATATTTATATATTTACAGATTATCATTCTGGTTTTTAATTTATTAGTTCTAAAATTCAAAATGGGTACACAGCAATTTCAACTTAAATGGAATAATCATCAATCAAATATGGTGACTGTTTTTGATCAGTTGTTATCAAGTGAAGCTTTAGTTGATGTCACTCTTGCATGTGAAGGATTGAGTCTTAAGGCTCATAAAATTGTCCTTTCTGCATGCAGTCCTTTCTTCCAAAATTTGTTTTTGGAAAATCCCTGTACACATCCAATTGTTATAATGAAAGATATGAAGTATGCTGAACTGAAAGCTATAGTAGATTTTATATATAAAGGAGAAGTGAATGTTTCCCATTATCAGTTAAATGGACTTCTTAAAACTGCAGAATTACTTAACATTAAGGGTTTGATTGAGGTTGCAGATGAAAATATAAATTATGAACCAGAACAACCTTTACAGAATGAAGTTACTGAACAACAATCGGTTGACACATCTCAAACAATTCCATTTTCGTCAGCAGAACAGAAAAAAGTGGCATCACCTTCTTTGCATAAAAAGAGAAGAGGTAAAAGGAAAAGAAGAATTTCTAATGACTCCACATCTACTGAAAATGAAGAAATACCACCAAAATTACAAGAATCCAGAATTAATGATAAAATATTGTCAGAAACAATTTCTGATTCTCATAATGAAGTTTCTGTTTCACAGCAAGAACAGTTTCAAGTGTCCTCAGACCATCCTAATAGTAGTGTGTCACAAAATTTATTTTTTCCATCAACTCAAGAAGATACATTTGTAAATGTAGAAGAGCCACCTGAGGATGAACAAAATTATTCTGAATCTCCTGATTTTGTAAAACAGATTATTTTAACTGAAAGTGTAAGTATTATTTTTATGTAATATAATTCTTAATTTTAACATAAGATCAAAAATGTTTTTAAAATTATTTATTTAAATATATACTTGGTTTAATTAGAGATTGTACTTGATCAATGACTATTTTAGGGATTAGGGTGACAGGATGGAGTACTCTCCACATGAAAATGTTTCTTTATGTCTCTTTCTTCAAAACCAATTATCATTCAGGCTATAGAGGGTTCACTTTTGTTTACACAAATGCTCTCTGAGGAAAAATGACATATAATAATTGAAAAAATTCATATAGCATAAGTACTTGTACATATAGCAAAATTACCACAGAACCGTTCCATCCTGTCTCCTTTTCTCTCCTAAGTAGGCACAGTTAGTATTGACCAAATGCACTTTCTCACTGCACTGACTATAGTAATGAACAAGGGCTGATACAGGGGTGGACAAGGTGGGCAAGGTGGGCAGCTGCCCAAGGAGGCAAATTACTAGTGTTGACAAAATTGGCCAACGAAAATAAAAATAAAAGAACATTCTTAATCTCAGATAATTATTTTTAGAAAGTAAAATAATCAATTAAGTAATTAAATGTGTGAGGTCTGAGCCCTCAAATCTTTTGATTAAAATTACACTATGCTTATATTTAATTAAAAAGGACAGAAAATAATTATCTTACCCAGGGCAACATAATTGCTATGTTGGCTCCTGGTAATGAAATAGAGTTGGATATACTATTTAATAACATAAATAAAAGAACAGAATAAGCTGTAATAGTTTTCAATTGCAATGCTATTTGCAATAGTAAATAATAATTAAAATAGTATTAAAAGTTTAAGCTGTTTTAATATATTTAATTTTACATGACTCATTTATTTTTAAATATTTGAAATTTTAGAAATCATTACTCCAAGACTGTGCTTCACAGGGTCCAACAATATGTTCAGTATCTTCACAAGGAACTGTTCAAGCTGAATTTAGAAACAGTAATTTTATTAATACAGGATCACAGGATAGTGAAAAATTAGTTTCATGTTCTACATTATCTGAAACTTCTACACCAAACTTTCTTGATGATGAAATGCCAGGTATCTATTTTTTGATTCATTATGAAATTTTATTCTGCATTATTCTTATTGGCATATTATGGATCTAACATGTAATTCTATTATAGTTACCTTTGCTTCTTGCTAATTTATGAAGATACTAAGATGTAGATTTTAGAATATAATTTCTTCAATATTTCTTGGAAATACATCTGAAGTTTAATATTACATTTTTAAAAAAAATTCCATTTTAATGTAAAAGAATTAAATTTTTATTTCTGTAATTATATTTTTCAATATTAGTGTGTTATTTTATTAAATCACAATTTAGATTTTAGTTGTTTAATGTATGAGATTTTATTAAATATTTTTCATAATAATGATAAATCATAATTTGTGTTTATTGAAGAATTTATTGATTTCATATCATTTCACTGTAGAATGTTTGTGCCAGTTTTTATCAATAACAAGTTCAGACTTGTTTAACATGCCTATTTATTGAATATTTGTTATTTTCTTGTCTTTTATATTTCAATATAAAAAATTTTGCTTAAAAACTATAATTCATTCATTCATTTTTTATTATTAAATTTAAGTTCTTATTATTCATATATATTTAATACTTACCATATATTACCAAATAAATGTCATACTCCTACTCCTAAAAGATGCATAAAAAAGAACAGTTTTCTTATGTGCATTTTCACTTGATATGGCTGAAGGCCCTGAGTCATGTATAGTTACTGTAGTTTACAACTTTGAATGCCTGTTACTGTTCAGTAAAGTCTATTGAAACTGAACAGAATAAATATTAATGTTTATTTTGTTTTTATGAATAAAAAGTTCAATATTTCTATTGAGTTTCCAATTACAGCTTTATTCAAAACTTCTTCATTCATTATGTGAAATAGAAACAAGTTACAAGTGCTTCATGTAGCAAGTTTTACATGAAAAGATAATAGCTAATAAAGGTGAATTCAAACAGCCACCAAATATAAACAATTCATTGAATTAAAAAAAGATTTGTTGGTTAAGTAACAGAATATTAGTGGTCAAATTGACAAACATTATTTTGTTATTTGTATGCCTTTTACATCAGATTGTGCAAACTTTTCAATCTATCCTCAGATGATAAAGAAACTTTAAAGCAACCTGTCTCCTAAAGATAAGAAAAGAAGAAAATATTTCATAGAAGATAAACTAACTGCAATAGATAAGGCAAAGGCATTAGGATCAAATTGGGCAGCTGCTGAAAATTTAGATATTGATGAAAAAGGAATTTGGAAGTGGAGAAGCAAGGAAATGGAACCGAGAGATAAAGCAAAGCCCAAAACAAGATTTTAATTGGAAACAGGGGGTCATAAGATCTTCAATAAAGAATTGGAATTCTCTTTACTGAGTTATGTCAAATGCTTATGAAGAAGCTTCAGGCAACAACTAAAATGATGAGCAGAAAGGCCAAAAAACTATGGAAATCACTATGGCAAGAAAATCCTGAATTGACTGGGAAATTAAAGGCAAGTCCAAGATTTATCTATTGATTTAATCAACATCACAATGGTCTACCACTGTCAAACAACTGTTACTCTAAACCACTATACAAGATCACATTCCAAAAATTGTCAGCTTCCATTAGATACATATGGCATCCGTAATGACAGAATAAATTCAACATTAGTGACATGATATCTCTAGGGTTGTAATAAAACTTCAGTGTGAGTTTGAAGAAATTGGCACAACAACAAATCAGTCTAATTCCAAAGATGTGACAACTAGGCATGAAAAGATGTGCTGCACCATGATGCTAATAACTAAGGCTGATGGCAAGAAGGTGAAGTTGTATATTGTTTTAAAACAAAAGTGACTAATGTCTGAACTAAAATGAATGTTTCCAGAAATTGTGATAGCCTATTCTAATAATGGATGGATGGATGGATGAATTGCTAACAGCAGCCTATCTGAACAAAGTCATTAGAGATTCAGCTTTAGCTGCCATTTACTCATTTGAGACAGCTACTGATGCCACATTTCAAAGTCAGTCAAAAAGCAGTTAGAGAAGATAAAAATTGATTACAGCATTATTCCAAACATATGTAAAAAATTCATTCAACGTACAGCTGTCTCCAGGAATAAGAGTTTTAAGAAACAATATAATGAGTAGTTTGATGATTAGATAACCAGAAATGAGCATGAGTATACAGTACATGGTGAAATGTGTGAAAGAACTTCTGAATCAGTTTTAATATGCCTGGATGGAAATTTCTGAACTGCAAATCAGAAAACACTTTTTTGCACTGTGGACTATCAAATGCCATTGACCTCAGTGAAAATGATCTTATTGTTTGTTTGCATGGTGAAGGCTTGAAAGAAGTAGTTATTAGAATCAGAAAGCCAAGATACCAAATTCAGGATTAATGATGAAAACAATGATTAATTTGAAGAAAATTTTATTTTCTTGGAATTGATTCTGATAACTGCATTGAAATTTAATATATATTACTGCAATAGTATAGTATCAAACTTCGTTATTAAAAAAAAGAAATCCTGTTAGCAGTACTGTAATTATAAATAAATATTATATTATACTAACTATATTCTTGTATGTTTGGTTATAAAGCAAAATACCATATAAGAAAATTTTCCCTTGCAAAAATCTGAGAAAAATAAATGCCACTTCTTAATAAACACTAAAATTGAGGGTGGCTGAAAGATATAAATGCCATGACATGTATTTAGTAATATAAAGTATACCATATTTAAGGATATAATTGAAGACCTCTGGACATATAGTGCTACCTCAGAATCACATTTCTGAGGTAATTGAACTTGAATGTTTGAAAATAATCCAAAAATGAAAAATCCCAAAACAATGAGATGGCAGCCACATTCTACAGCAAGGATGTCCAACCTTTTTTGTTTCTCTGGGCTGCATTGGAAGAAGTCGAGTTTTGGGCTACAAGTATATATAATATATACTTGTGGCCCAATATACAAGTATATTTAAGGATTAATATCTTGGTCTAGATTATAATAATAAGTATTAAAACTTTATCACGAAAAAGGATATTTTAAAAAATTACTTCTACAGACACTTTCATTTTTACTTAGAAATAGATAAATTCATTTTATTATAAAAGAGACAAATGAAAATTTATTTGAAAAACACAAATATTTGTTTTATTTGGGTCTCTAATTAATAAAAAGTGACGAAACACCATTTTAAATATGCACTTTTATTCAACTAATATAATTATAAATAATATGTAGCCCAAAAAGTAGCCAAAGTGCCAAATAATATTTTTTTCTGCAAACAAAAAAAGTAGCCACATTTGGTGAAATGTAGCCAAATTTTGCAATGTTGGAAGAAATACTAAATAAAGCTGGAGTTGAGACTCAAAGGAATAATTATAGGCCCAAATGTGGGAAAGGAGAGAAAGGACAAAAGATAAAAAAGTGAAAAAGGTTGAAAAATTAAGGGTCAATATTTGCATAACAGAAGACCTATTTAACTTTTCTCACTACTTTTTATCTTTTGTCCTTTCTCATCTTTTTCTCCTTTTCCCAAATTTGGGTCTATAATCCTTTTAAGTCACAACTCCAGCTTTATTTAGTAATCCTTCTGCATTCACACATCTCCAAGTATTTGAAAATATTTCTTTTCCACTCAAAAATAAAATATGAAAAAGGTTTACAACTTTGTGAAACTTCTTTTTTGAGTTTATACCATTGAAATAAATAAATAATAAAAAAATTAAAACATTTGTCGGTTTTGTTTACATGTTTATTGGGCCGCATGTGGCCCACGGGCTGGACACCCCTGTTCTACAGGCAATGTTCGGAGAGCAAAAATATTAACACACAACTATTCATATGATTTAAGGACTTTTTCAAACATTCAAACTTGGTTACCTAAGAGACATGATTCTGAGAGTTAGCACTATATGTTGCCAAGGGCTTCAATTATTAAATACACTGTGCTTCTATATTACACATGTAGTCATTAAATTTGTTCCATTAGGTGTATGTATAAGGTGGGCCACTTATGTTACTGGGAAATATGTTGAAAAATGTCTCTTACAAAAATGTTTTGGATCAAACTTGTTTGATATCAAGAGAGGTACTATAAGTTTCATTGTAGATGGTCAGCGAAAATGAGGTCAACTTCATTTTACTTAAATAGGAACCCAATTTTTGTTACATATTCTAATTTTATATAAACTAATAAAATTTTATCTAAAACATTTTTTGAAAGATGTAATTATCAGAAGTTATAAATTTGGTTTCTAGGCTGCATGTTCCTTTAAGGTAAACTAGGTAGCCTGATAGTTCAACCGATATTAACTTGTTTATAATTAAAATTAAAAATATTTTTTTAAAGCAGGCAAATTTATAAAACAAAAATTAATGAAATTAGTAAAATATTAAAATTAATTTAAATTTGATTATCTTTTCTGCAAAACAATGCTGAAACAATTTCAATAGTTATGTTGCAAAAGAAAAAGGAGTTGCAATTAATTAAAAAAAATCATAATTAAAGGTTCAAAAATGGCAGAATTAAATAAATAATAATAAATTAATTAATAACTATTAAAAAAAACTACAACTAAATTAATACTAAATAAATTAAACCTAAAAATGAATTAAAACTAAACATAATAACATAATTAAAACTCTGGTCTTTACACCAAGACTGAATTAAAAATAAAATCAAAACTAATTATAATCAAATCTGTTGAAAATTAAAACATTTTTAAAAATGTTTAAAAGTTGTTTTGAAATTTTAAAATGTAAATCAAATTAATTTTTAAATTTACATTATTTGTGTGTGGTTGTAACCAAACATTTTACTTTTAATATATACTGTATACAGATAAAAATTTCTAAAAATAATATAAAATTAAAATAAAATCTGTATCTGGTATATAATCAAAGGTTATTATTCAAATATCAAACTTAAAGAATAGTTGTTATGAAAGCAAACAAATAGCTGTCTCTTCAACTCCAAGTCTGAGTCAAAAGTGAAGTCTTTTGTCTCCTATCCCTAAACAAAAACCTTCCTTTCCCTTTCTTAACCCTTTCCACGTTCATGCTGAGTTTACAGAGGAAGTTAATTGGTGGTCCTAAGATTGCAAACCAACCTCTGACCTGGTATGATCTACTTACACGTCATTTCTTTGTAAAGTGTTGGTTTCAGTTTGGTAGGGACAGAGTACCTTAAGGAAAAATGTTTTATGCAAATTTATTTTACTATGATTTGTAAATGATGTCTCATCAGAAAACAATCCTTGTTTAAAAAATTGTCATTGTTTTGTATTTATTGTTCTATCCAATGACAAAAATTCATATGATTTTGAAAGTTATCACCAAGAAGTTCTTGGTGCAACAAACTATGGTAAGGATATTTTAAATAAATGTAAAACATTGGTTTTAGACATTCCTGAGGCTCATGCAATTTTTCTGGAACTAATGTGAAGATTTTGAGTTACTACAGCTAAAATATCAACTTCCATATCTTCATTTGTTGTAATATTTCTTTGAATCTTGATTTTGATTGGACACTTCCTGATTCAGTAAGTACAATCAGACAATACAAACAATAAGTCATAATAATGGGATGATTTACTAACAAGGATTACTTTAAAATTATGCAGAAAATTATGGTATATATGTGTGTATAATATAATGCTATAAATAGTATGGTAGGTATAATAGTATGTCAAATAATTAAACATTGATGCTAATTGAGATTTCATTGTATAACAGTACATAAAAGTTGAATATAGACTCATAAAAAGGTAATTTTCTATGATCTTTTCCATGTTAATGAGACAAACAGTACCTATTGTGAAAGTTCTGATATCAATTTGAATATTTAGACTTTTTTGAGCAAATAATTTATTTCTATCTTTGTAAAATATATTTTTAACAATGTGAACACTTGTATTGGTATTACCTTTGGATTATTCTTTTTAATAATTTTAATCTGAAGAAAGTTACTCATTAAATTTTATTTCAAAATATTTCTACTTATTTAAATTAGATTCTCTATATTATAAAATAATCATTCTTTTAAAAGTGGTCAATCTTTTCTGTTAAAGTTACAGTGAATTTAGGAGTGGATTCCATCATCATCATCTCCTTCCCATTAGGGATGTGTATCATTATTTATTGGAAAGAACATCTTATGACTTAGATTGAACACATAAAATGAATGAATAATTTGGTAGGCTGGTAGTATATCTCCTCAGTCTAGTAGGAGGGTAAGGTTCCTTTTTCCTTCTGATTCTCTCCTTTTAAGGATTTAGTGGACCTTTAAGGTCAGCCAATCTAGAGCTGGATCAGAAACTCTACTTTAGATATGCCTTTGCTAGGACAACTGACTTATTTCATTAATTGTGCAAAATGATCCCTGACTCCTCTAGTAAAATCACTCCAGCCAAACAGAGGACCAAATCTCTCTCTCTGAATAAAGCTGATAAGCCTACTCGACAGTTACTATAATTTTATTTTGAAAGCTATGTTAATCAAACGAATATTTTCATATAATAAAAGAAATTCCTATTTAATTTATCTTAAGCGATTTTTTAAAATATGTATTCATTATTAAAACCACAAAATAAACTAGAACAATATATAGACTCTCACCTAAATGTATTCATTATTTTTTAAATTATCTTTAAAAGTTTATTTTATAAACATATTATTTTATTACAAACATAAATTGGTTTTCTGTTATTAATTTAGATATCAAGCCTATAGTAATATTTGATGAATTTGGAAATCCTACAGCAAGAGATGTAACACCAAAAGATATAGCACATGCAAGTGAATCTGGGGTTCTTTCTTTACCTGGTCCAAGTATTTATCAATTAGACAAACAATCTTCTGAATTAAAAGAACCAGATTCACATGGTAAGAAAATTGCATTAATTAATGGTTTTATAATAATATGAACGTGTTTTTTTATTCCGATAATTTCTATACCATATTTATTCACATATAAGACGAGGTGTGACTTTAAAGATCAAAATAAAGAAAATTAGATTTATTAATACAATTATAATTTTATTCCGTTTAATCACAAATAAAATATCAAATGCATGTATATGCACACATTGTCCCACAAAAATTACTGGCATTTTAAACTTCAAGGAAAAATCTTGTAAAATCGACAACATAATTTGTTCATGTAAAGCTGGACAATTGGGAACCTTTTTTTTCAATTCTTAACAGTCGAATTCACTCTTTGTCAATTACACTTATGAGTTTCTCTGAATTCTGATTTCTAAATAATCATCTGTTTTCACATGAGAATGAATTAAAACTTATTTTAGGCTTCCATGTAATTTTGGAATTCAATCCAAAAGCTTTGCTTTTCCTATAGCTATTCATCTTTACTCCTGACAATACACAAGAATGATTGAAACGACCCAGATAAAATACTTTTGCTTTTAAACACCAGAAAGTGAGAATCCGGTAAAAAATGCAAATACACAGCTCATAAAAATTATTGCAAAAATGAAAAGAATCCTTCACTCGTGCATCTAGGACAACCTAGGTTTTTGAAGCAGTGAAAAATGAATAAAAATCTTGTCTTATATGCGAGTAAATATGGTATATACTTTCCATTATAATTCTAAATTTTGTGTTTGTAATTATATAAAATTATCATAAGATGTCAAAATTAACAGTACAGTAGAGCCTCGAAAACTCGGCACTCGATAACCCAGTACTCCGGATAACTCGGCCACACCCTGGCAGGGCAAAAAAATCCTTAGTTAATTAATTTTCATTATAGACAGCTTTATGCCTCAAAGTATATTTCTGGGGTCTGTCTTATCAGGTAAATTACTGTACACTGTGTATTCATTAATTTTCATTTTCATGTAGTAATGGCTCTGTCTTCATAAAGGACGTACTTTTCCTTTGTTTGAGGGTATTTGGGCAGTTTATTCTCTGTTGTATTCTCAAGCAAACAATACATACAAGTATAGTACAGTATTTTCTGAGGACTCCACACTTGTACTTATTTTTTTAACGCCATTCCCGATAACCCAGCATTTTCACAAACTCGGCCACCCTTCGGTCCACATTAGGCCGTGTTTTCGAGGCTCTACTGTATTATTCATGTCATTTATGTTTACTTCATTTGTTTCTTTTTGTCATAAAATAAAAATAATTTTTTTGAAGAGACAAGTAATGCAGACAAATAAAACACATGGAATTCTATGTTTGGATTTAAAAGTCATTTTAAATTTATTTTATTTATAAATGATTAATAATTGTTATTAATGTACAGTATTTAGTTATAATTCAGATAAATATTTTGTTCTTCATATATCTTCCTTTTATTTATTCATAATAAATTAATAAATGTAACAAATATAAAATTAATTTCTTTGTATGTATATCCTAAAAGTATATACAGGTAACCCCTGTATAACACGCGAGTTACGTTCCAAAAAATTGTCGTGTTATGCGAATCCATGTTATACGAAACAAAGAACTAGTGTGAAAAGGGGGGTTAGGTTTCAAAAATTAAAAAACATGTTGTTAAATCCTTATCTAAATCGGATTTATTATTCATTTTTTTCATAGGTAAAATACTTATTTATTATTTAAGTAAATATTTTACCAGAGAATTATTCATCCTATATGATCTCAGCATGAGCATCATCAACTGGTAACAGTTTTTGGGTGCATTCGTTAATAGCAGTTGCTCTGCAATGGGAGTGAGCGCTGTTTGTAGGCATTTAGAAACGATGGTGAGAGAAAGGTGGTGGCTCCCACACTATCGATAGTATTGTGATGGAGAAATCTATAATTCTAAAATGAGCTTTTAGAGGCAAAAGAAGGGTCCCAATTGTAAAATTTAACCATTAAATGGATTATTTGTAGAAAGAGCATTCAAAGTAGCCACAAAAACAATTAGAATGCATGCGCGGAGTTATGCGGAGGTATAAAAGAACGCACCCTTTATTACATTTCATGTTTTACGAGAGTTTTACCCAATTCCCGAACTGTGTTAGAATGAACCCGTGCTATAAAAGCACTGTGTTATATGGGGGGATGTTCCCAATTCTCAAACCGTGTTAGAGTGAATCCTTGCTATAGAAGTGCCGTGTTATACGGGGGTTACCTGTATTGTATCTCTTCAAAATTTTGAGACTATTTATTATATTTTTTTATATAATATTACATAAATTTATGCAATGCAATATAATTAATACCGAATAATATAAAATCTTGTGGGGTACATTTGTAGCTCTTTGCAAACTGCTTTTTATTGGCAGAACATGCATTCCTACATCAACTGCATTTGAATTTATATTTTTCTTAGAACAATCTGTTAAATTTTAATGGTTAAATGGTTAATCATTAAATTTATAATAATTTTTGAATTTCAATTCATGTACATTCAGAAAAGTAAATAACTTCCAATGATATGTTCCAGTTTGAAAATAATTTTTTCTACCATCATTTTTGATGAGTTACAGCTAGTAAAAATAATAAATTTAAGTAGTTAGTTTTAATCTTGTTTTCATGATATAAATTACAAGTCCCAAGTATCAACTCTTTTTCAAAATTTTCAAGTTTAATCTCAACTTCTCAAGTCTTTGTGGAAAATATAGATCAAGTTACAGGGCTGGATTTCTGAATAGGGACAGTAGATCTGAACATAGGATGGCAGATTTTGAGGGATGGCAAATTGGCAAGCATAGTATAAGAATTTTACAAAAAAAATATAAATAAATTTCAAATATTGCAGCATTTATAATTAATTATTAAGTTGTATACATAAATAAGGTAATGGTTTCAATAATCTAATTACATCAGCTAGATATGTGTATGTTATAAATGGTCAAAGCTATGCTGATATGTATGATGCAATTTTTCATTAAAACAAAATGTACCTTATACATTAACTATACCATTTAGTAACATGCATCATTTTCATATTTAATATATTTTATATAATAAAGTCAAGTTAGTGTCAGAAGCATTTACATTTATTTCAGAAAAAGTGGTATTCTAGTCTGTGTACAGTGGTAAAAGAGTTAAGTCCAGCCCTGTCAAGTCTTAAGTTTAGTTTGAAGTTATTTCAGTCACATCTAAAGTTAAGACTCAAATCCTTTTCTTAGAAAAAACAAACCTTTAGATATACTTCATCAACAGATGATTAGATAAATCACGAATTAATGACTATTTTAAATCCAGGATTAGTGACTTTGCATTCCACCATTTTCAGATTAGATATNGTCTCTAATTAATAAAAAGTGACGAAACACCATTTTAAATATGCACTTTTATTCAACTAATATAATTATAAATAATATGTAGCCCAAAAAGTAGCCAAAGTGCCAAATAATATTTTTTTCTGCAAACAAAAAAAGTAGCCACATTTGGTGAAATGTAGCCAAATTTTGCAATGTTGGAAGAAATACTAAATAAAGCTGGAGTTGAGACTCAAAGGAATAATTATAGGCCCAAATGTGGGGAAAGGAGAGAAAGGACAAAAGATAAAAAAGTGAAAAAGGTTGAAAAATTAAGGGTCAATATTTGCATAACAGAAGACCTATTTAACTTTTCTCACTACTTTTTATCTTTTGTCCTTTCTCATCTTTTTCTCCTTTTCCCAAATTTGGGTCTATAATCCTTTTAAGTCACAACTCCAGCTTTATTTAGTAATCCTTCTGCATTCACACATCTCCAAGTATTTGAAAATATTTCTTTTCCACTCAAAAATAAAATATGAAAAAGGTTTACAACTTTGTGAAACTTCTTTTTTGAGTTTATACCATTGAAATAAATAAATAATAAAAAAATTAAAACATTTGTCGGTTTTGTTTACATGTTTATTGGGCCGCATGTGGCCCACGGGCTGGACACCCCTGTTCTACAGGCAATGTTCGGAGAGCAAAAATATTAACACACAACTATTCATATGATTTAAGGACTTTTTCAAACATTCAAACTTGGTTACCTAAGAGACATGATTCTGAGAGTTAGCACTATATGTTGCCAAGGGCTTCAATTATTAAATACACTGTGCTTCTATATTACACATGTAGTCATTAAATTTGTTCCATTAGGTGTATGTATAAGGTGGGCCACTTATGTTACTGGGAAATATGTTGAAAAATGTCTCTTACAAAAATGTTTTGGATCAAACTTGTTTGATATCAAGAGAGGCACTATAAGTTTCATTGTAGATGGTCAGCGAAAATGAGGTCAACTTCATTTTACTTAAATAGGAACCCAATTTTTGTTACATATTCTAATTTTATATAAACTAATAAAATTTTATCTAAAACATTTTTTGAAAGATGTAATTATCAGAAGTTATAAATTTGGTTTCTAGGCTGCATGTTCCTTTAAGGTAAACTAGGTAGCCTGATAGTTCAACCGATATTAACTTGTTTATAATTAAAATTAAAAATATTTTTTTAAAGCAGGCAAATTTATAAAACAAAAATTAATGAAATTAGTAAAATATTAAAATTAATTTAAATTTGATTATCTTTTCTGCAAAACAATGCTGAAACAATTTCAATAGTTATGTTGCAAAAGAAAAAGGAGTTGCAATTAATTAAAAAAAATCATAATTAAAGGTTCAAAAATGGCAGAATTAAATAAATAATAATAAATTAATTAATAACTATTAAAAAAAACTACAACTAAATTAATACTAAATAAATTAAACCTAAAAATGAATTAAAACTAAACATAATAACATAATTAAAACTCTGGTCTTTACACCAAGACTGAATTAAAAATAAAATCAAAACTAATTATAATCAAATCTGTTGAAAATTAAAACATTTTTAAAAATGTTTAAAAGTTGTTTTGAAATTTTAAAATGTAAATCAAATTAATTTTTAAATTTACATTATTTGTGTGTGGTTGTAACCAAACATTTTACTTTTAATATATACTGTATACAGATAAAAATTTCTAAAAATAATATAAAATTAAAATAAAATCTGTATCTGGTATATAATCAAAG